TTATTATTATTATTATTATTATTATTATTATTATTATTATTATTATTATTATTATTATTATTATTATTATTATTATTATTATTATTATTATTATTATTATTATTATTATTATTATTATTATTATTATTATTATTATTATTATTATTATTATTATTATTATTATTATTATTATTATTATTATTATTATTATTATTATTATTATTATTATTATTATTATTATTATTATTATTATTATTATTATTATTATTATTATTATTATTATTATTATTATTATTATTATTATTATTATTATTATTGTTATTATTACTCTTACGTATTTTTCATTTGCAACTGTTAATAGAAACATATTATTTTGCAGTGTTCTGCCCACCAATTGAACCTAAAACAAATGGTGAAATCTCTTATTTACCATTCACATTGCCACCAATAATAGGAACAGGTACAATGGCATTGCTAAAATGTAATGAAAATTATATAGCAGTTGGTTCGGTTACTTCTTTTTGCCAATCAAATTCTTCATGGAACGTAAATATTGGTAAGATTTCCAAAGATTAAAATGAATTATATTCAAACCTTTTGAGTTATACGGTAATCAAACTTAGTTCAATTATTCCCGCAACTGGGTTGTTAAATTTTATCAAGATATGAATGGAAGAAATAGTTAATTTTGTGATAATGAACGATTGCGTTAGTTAAGTAATTTTAGGTAAATGTGTACGGTTGGATTTCGGTAAACCATGCTCACATATTAAAGGATTTCCCGGTATCATTCATTATATAACGGTTAATATTGAAATTAACAAATTAAAAACTTCAATTAATTCGAAAGCTATTTCAACAGGTATTAATTTAAGAGCAAGAAAGTGGAAGAAGGATTTGGAAAGATTTAAAATGCAAAAGAAAATGCGATGAATAATTCCATTTTTACAGCCTGATACGATCAAATTAGCAGAAAACAAACTTGTTTCGGGTACGAAAGCATTCTATATTTGTGATCCAGGATATGCTTTAAAAGGTCAATCTTTATCTATTTGCTTTGACGGTAAATGGTCATCACCACCAGCAAAATGTTTATCAGTTTGGTCAGGACATTTTCTCAGTAATGAAAAGAAATGTGAAGGAATCAAAGTTGATAATGGCACAGTAAGTTCAAATAAATTTTCGAGATTTATTTATTTATTATTATTTTTAACATTATTATTAACTGTTACTATTATTTTGCATAATTTAATGTTTATATTATGTAACAAAACAATTTAATCTTTTCCTTCTTTTTTTTTCGAAAAAAAAATTTAGAAGGAAGATGGAAAGACGAAGTTTGAAGTGAAAATTGATCATTTCCTGAGAAATACTCCCATGAAAGTTAAATATTTACCGTATAATTAATTTTCACGGGAAGCTAACTGTTAGTTAGCTATGCTTAATCAGAGTTGTCTTAATGGTGGCACTGAAAGAAAAAACTGAATTTTTCAAAATTTATTAAATAGTTAATAAAGGAGAATGATTTTTTCTTTTTATTTATTTTAAATGAAACTTTTAAGGTAATATACAATGAAGAAGCAGACGCCAGTTCTAAATATAATATTAATACAATAGCAACAGTGAGATGTGATCCAGATTACGTTTATTCCGGATCAATACAACACGTTTGTAGGGGATATAATGATTGGTCCGGTCGTTTCGGAGTTTGCTTACCAGGATAATCTAAACTATGAATCTTTAATTTCTGTTTTTTAACTGTCTGCTGATCACCGAAATTTTAACTTTTTTATGGTTTAAAAAAATTGTTCTTATCTATTAATATTAACTTCTTACCTATTAATTATTAGTTATATAATTTTATAAATTATTAATTGCATAATTTGTATAACTATTAATCGCATAATTTTGGCAGTAATCTTTATGATAAAATGATTTATCTAATATTGTTTTAACGATGTCTATTTCTCATCAGTCGTAGAAAATAAACTTTCGAAACTTATTCATTCATTTATTTATTTGTTTATTTATTTACTTATTTATTTATTTACTCATTTGTTTATATCCCTTTTTTAAGTTATTGATTTTTTCTTCTTTTGTTCTGTGATAGTTATCAGAGAATTTTGAAAAAATTGAAACAAATTTAATTCTGAAAAAATCAACAGATGTAAAACTGATTGAGATTGATTATTCAATTTCTACGTTTAAATTTTTCAGTTTAACAATTTGTGAGTTTAAGGAGGTGAAATCTTTTTAAAAAATATTACCAGTAACTGATGATTAAAGCGCTTTATACACTGCAACATTAGAGATTAAATAAATTATTAAAAATAAAAAATTAAAAAAAACGCAAAATTACATGATTTTATACTGAAATTCTGAACAGTTCAATTTTTGGAAAATTAATTAAGCTTTGAAAACAGAATTTTGCATTTCCTAACCTTATTGAATCGTTTGATTTAAGATTGTATATTTTGTGGAAAATGTTTAAATCTCAAAATTTCGAATTAAATTGTTTTAATTAGATAGCTCGTAATATTCACTGGATTTCATCAAATAGTACAAACTAAACGTCACACTACGGCAGTATATCCATTGTAATTGTCGATCATTGTTACCTGACAGTAATTAGTAATTTTAAAAATCCACAGTTGAAATAAATGTGTATTGATCATATCAGAGCTGTTGAACAAAGCAAATAAAACTCATGCAATGATAATTTCCTATTACCTCACCTATTAATTAACATAATTAAATGTTATTTTTATGAAATTTATGGGTGAAAATTTTAATGAATTATTTTCAAAATCTCAATCAATTAAAAGTAATGAAATTTATTTGAAAATTTCCCATATCATTCAAATAAACTTACTCACATTATCCTGACTGTTAAAATAATTTATTGAAATTTGCACTTGTTGATTTGATAAAAATAATATTTAATTATCTTAATCAATAAGCGGAGTAATTTATCAACAATAGAACTTACTATCTATAAGTGTTTAAATTTAATTTTTGATTTTAAACTTATAACCACAATTCATTTTCTAACTTCATTGTTCATTAATTTATTTGCAAACTTCATTATTTATTGTGTAAAACTTAGTAGTTGACAGTCATCCTATTTTGTTTCACTCTTTTTTTTTTATTTTCTTTTTCGAGAATTTTGCCTTACTATTGATGATGACAATTTTAGAGGGTAATATTTGAACTGTAATTAAATGTGAAATACTTTGTTTTGCAATCAAATGCAATTTGAATTGTAAATATTATGAGGCATTGTCGCATTTGGTACATTTTTGGAAAGGTCACTTATGATATTTTTAGCGTCCCTGTCTCATTAACTATAACTGGAATAAATTAGTTTTATAAAAGGTGCATAACGACTGAAATAATCATTACACAATTTTTATCACTTTAAACTTAAAACTAATTTGTTTCACACCACTTTTTCAATAAAATCGTCTAAAGCTATTTTCGAAATAAATGCAAATTCGAATTGTTATTTACTTTTAAATCACTTTTAAATTTCACGACAGAAAATAAAATTCGATCATGAAATCAATGAATTTTTTGCATAATTTTCAAACTATCAAATAAACTGTCGTGTCATTTTTGCATTGTATGCGTAAATGCGATTTGAGCAACTTCTTAAGATATAACTTTTTTTTAAATGATAACAGTACTCAGAGAGAATTGATTTATCACAAATGATCTTTTTTTTTTTTGCATTTAGTCTTGAAACTGAAAACATTTATCAGTAAAATTTCATTTTAATTAAACGAAAAATTTTTATTACACAAAAATTACTGATTGATTTCAATTGAATTCAAATTAAATCGTTTAAAATATTTTTTAGAGCACATTTCTTTTTTGACGATTGTTAAACACATTTTTATTATTAGTGAATTGCTTAAATTAAATGAAATTTATTTCACAATTCACCACCGGTGAACATTTCAAAAGTATTAACTGCTTGTTTTACAATTTTAATCACTTTTTAGTTACTCTTTCAATTTTTCTCCTCATTTTTCCCTCTCTTTTGATCTGCCTTGTCACATTTAATTTGTGTCATTAAATTAATTCTTAAGCTTGCTATGAATGAATAATATCAACTGGCGCACCTGAAAAGCTTCGTGATTCTTTTGATATTAGCATGTTTCCCGATATGTCTCCTGCAGTATGTACTCCCACACAAATTAAATTGTTAAAAAAGTTACTTTCTCACGAATTGCTTTCGAGATTGGACTCAACAAATACTACTCGAATTATTTTATTGTCACAATATAATGGAATCAGGCGGAATAATCGGATGGTGTGACATTTTGTACTTAAGACTTATTGTAGTGATTTCACATCACTATGTTTCTCTTTGTTTCTTAGCAATCTGTTCATTATTGACTAATGTCCTTATAAGTCTACCAATCGTTCTGGTATTCCTGTCTAGCAAATTAATATGACTAACACATATCATGAATATCCTATATCATGAAGTCTTTAGACTTTTTATTTTCTGGAAGTCGTCGTTCAAAAATAACGACAATCTTTAGTTGAGATGCAAGTCTGAATATCAACTGTCACATTGTTTTATGATTGGAATAAGTCGATGGTTTTGCGGCATCACTTACAGAAACATAACGTGAATTTCTATTCGATTCTAATTTTTTAACTTACCAATATTTTCATCAAAATTTGCTTATGATCAAAATTTGGGTGAGCCTTATTCAAAAAGAAGTTTGAAATTAAAGCAATAGAAATCTCTTCGAGAAAAAAAATGCTCAACAATCAAATTAAGTGGAATTTAAATTAATAATTTAAAAATATGATAAATGAAAAAAAAATTTTTAAAATAAAATATGACAGATGAAGAGAGTAAAAGAATGAAAATTATTGTCGTCGATCTTCTTCAGCACTTTTCTCCTTCTTGTAACCTGTGTCACATTGTCCAATACTGGCTGGTCATCTTTTCGTACTTACTCTTTTATTTTACTCCATTTGAAGCCTACTACCTCGCTTATATCCTCAGAATATGAATGCTAACTTGGCTTGCTTCGGTTCATGCCGATCTTTGATCTTGTCTATTTTCTTTTGCATTGATGTTTGATGCTTTGCTCGATTATTTTATTTAATTTCTTTGATTCCGTCAATTCTCTTTCACCTATGTCGCGAATTTTTTACTCGCGAGACTCCAACC